TCCTCCTCCTCCTCCTCCTCCTCCTCCCACCCTCCCCATGGCAGGCTGCAGAGGACCCCAGCGTGGCGAGGGGTTAGGCCACGGAGGACCCCAGCGCGGTGAGGGGTTAGACCGACCGCACCGACCCCCAGCGAGGCGAGGGGTCAGGACACAGCGGACCCCAGCGCGGTGAGGGGTTAGACCGCAGCAGGGCCCTGCGTGGTGAGGGGTCAGGCCACCAAGGACCCCTGCGCGGCGAGGGGGTAGGCCGCAGAGGACCCCAGCGTGGCGAGGGGTTAGGCCACAGCCCTGCGCCACACGGGATGCAGAGGGGTGCCCGTCCCCCACCAGCAGGACGAAGCACCATGGACATGGTTGACCTCGACCACTTCCAGGACGAGGAGAACAGCGAGGATTGCCTCCAGCAGCCCGCAGACAAGCAGGACGGCGATGACAACCACCAGCAGATCCCAGATGAACAGGACAGCATCGGGTACCACCTGGCAGACCGCAGAGGACCCCTGCGCGGCGAGGGGTTAGGTCACGGAGTGCCCCAGCGCGGTGAGGGGTTAGACCGCAGCAGGCCCCAGCGTTGCGAGGGGTTAGGCCACGGCGGACCCCGGCGCGGTGAGGGGTTAGACCGCAGCAGGCCCCTCCGCGGCGAGGGGTTAGGCCACAGAGGACCCCAGCGCGGCGAGGGGTTAGGCCGCAGAGGGCCCCCGCGTGGCGAGGGGTTAGGCCACGGTGCACCCCAGCGCGGTGAGGGGCTGGACCGCAGGAGCCCCCAGCGTGGCGAGGGGTTAGGCCACGAAGTTCTTCAGCGCGGTGAGGGGTTAGACCGCACAGACCCCCAGCGTGGCGAGGGGTTAGGCCACGGCGGACCCCAGCGCGGTGAGGGGTTAGACCGCAGCAGACCCCCGCGCGGCGAGGGGTTAGGCCACGGAGGACCCCAGCGCGGTGAGGGGCCAGACCGCAGCAGGCCCCTGCGTGGTGAGGGGTCAGGCCACCAAGGACCCCTGCGCGGCGAGGGGTTAGGCCGCAGAGGGCCCCAGTGTGGCGAGGGGTTAGGCCGCAGCCCTGCGCCAGGCAAGGAAGCCGTGAAGGCCCACGTGTCCAGGGATCAGCGGCCAGAGCGGCCCCTGGAAGAGCGCAGAGCAGAGGAGCGGCAGCGGCCGTCCATCAGGCTGCTCCTCAAGCTCTGAAAGGGCGGCGGCAGCAATTCTTCAGACTGCCGCCGCTCGCGGGGCGACTCAAGGAGTCTTCGAGTGGCGGCAGCAAGGGCGCCGTGCGATGAGGCCGCTGGCCCACCCCGCCTCGGGCGCGTTTTGCCTGCGCGGGGTGCCGAGACCAGGGGCACCCACTCACGGGCGGGAGCACGCGGGTTTAAAAACTCCTCCTCCTCCTCCTCCCCCTCCTCCTCCTCCTCCTCCTCCTCCTCCTCCTCCTCCTCCTCCTCCCCCACGGCCTCCGGAGCACCTCTCACGCGGGTCCCGAGGGCCCCAGGGGGCTCCAAAAACGGCGCGAAGGGCTGGGGGGCACCTCGGGCCAGGGGCACCTGCAACAACCCCCGAGTAGAGAGGCCCGCGGCGAGTTCCGGCTGCCCCCCGGCTGCCAGTCCAAAACAGGCGCGCACGCGCGCGCGCCGCCTCGACCTTTCAGCTGCCAGGCAGCGCGGCCCCCCCGCTGCATGGAACGCAGTGTGTGGCTGCAGCGCCCAAAGGGGGTACTGTCCACGGTCGGGAAGTTCGGCACGGGGTGCAGCTTCACTTGTGGTCGCGTCACATGGTGGTCGTTGCCTGATTCATTGCGTTGCCGATCGGCGCGGGCCCTCGCACGTCCCCCCCCTAATGGAGTAGATCTCGGCTGTTTTTGGCGCCTCCTTCAAGTAGGTGGAGTCTGCCCATAGGACGCATATTTGCAAACAGTCGCATCAAGCAGAGGTCCAGAGCCAGACACCCCCCTCTCCCCCCCTTCCGCCCAGTGTCGAAACGCCGAAGAAGAAAACGTTCACATGAGATGCAACGTATGGGGTTGCAAGCTGCGGTTTTCAATTGCAGCGGTGCAGCATCTGGGGTGCGTTGTATAGGCGCGACATGTCGGCGGGACCCTATGGATGTATTCTACGGGTGGGGCACTATGGGACGGAATCTCCAGAAGCGATCGGGTTGAATTCTCTGGGTGGGTACCATGTGGGGTGATTGGCGGGACCCTATGATTGAGTGTTTGTGTGCGGGGCCTTGTGGGGGAGCCTTCATCTATAGTCGGGGCCGCATCAGTGGGTCCTTCTGGGTGTGGTCCTGTTGACAGGGCCCCATGGATGTGGCCCTCTGGGTGGGACCTCGTGGATGGGTGGCCCTGTGGGTGGGACCTGATGGATGGGGCACTGCAGTGCCCATCGCGAGGACGAACTGTGGCGCCCGCAGGGAGAGGTGATCCCTGGCCGGGGCCCAGCGGCGTCCGCCGCCTGGGCCCGAAAGGGCTCTCTCCAGCAAGCACGAGCACTTCAGAGGCGTTCCGTGAGGCGCATCTGGGCGGTGCCCTATGGGTGTCATGGCGCCAACACCGCAGAGCGGATCTCGCTCGGAAAACGATAGGATGGGCCAGAGTGTCCTGGAGAAGTTCGTTCCGGATTTCGAGGTGAATTTCGTGCGGATGTTCTTTGGCCAGGAATGAAGACAACACAACACAACGCGCGATAATCACTTCGGTTCTCACTCGCCGTTTCGGGGTTTCGCAGTGACAGAAATCCACGCAACAAATCCGCTGAGTGCACATGTGCAACAGGGGCCCTGCGGCACAACCAAATAGATACAAATCCCAGGATTCCCAATCTACTCTTAGATGTTCTGGGTTATCATCTTCTCCCATGTTCACATGCTCCCATATTTTCTGGGACGTCGACATTTCAGTGTTTCAGTGTGTCTGTGCTTTGTCCCCTCCTGAAAGGAGGGAGGAAACAGGAAGACGCGAGGAGGAGCACCAGAAGCCACGAGGGGCCCGATGACGTGTGGACGTGGACGGCTTCCCCGGGGGGCCGTATGCGACCCGAGGAGTGGAGGGCGAGGAGGAGGAGGAGGAGGAGGGGGAGGAGGATGATGAGGAGGGGGACGAGGAGGAGGAGGAGGGGGAGGAGGAGGAGGAGGTGGAGGATGAGGAGGAGGAGGAGGAGGAGGAGGAGGAGGAGGAGGAGGAGGAGGGAGGGGAAGGGGAAGGGGAGGGGGAGGGAGGAGGATGAGTCTCCTGAGCCCGTCGGAGAAGCCCTCCGCGGACGGGGGGTGGGGGGGTCGGCGGAGAAGACAGACGCCCTGCGCCCGAGAGGCCCCCGTCCTGGGCCCGCGGGCTCGGCGCGTGCGCGCGCGGGGGAGGTCTTACTGGCCCTCGGGTTATGATGGTCCAACCTATTTTAGCCTTGATCACCAGAAGGAATTTCGAGCCCCCCAAAAAAGACCGAAACTCTATGGTTTTCACCTGTCGGGCCCTGGGAGACACTCGCCCGACACTGTTTCGACACTCTTTCGAGACTTTCTGGGTGCTCGAAATTATTTCTGGGATGTGGTCCTTAGGTTGGATGGGAACAACATAACCCTCGGGACCGTCAACAAAACGAGTCAGGATGAAGAACCGGCCCAGGGGAATAGCTCGAGACCTCCAGGGGTCGACGCGGTGAACAAAATCATGACGTCGGGGGTCTGGGGAGCCTGGGCCCCCTTGCCGGGAACCGTTTTTTCGCCCAGGGCCATGTTCTGACGCCCCCGAGGCCCGGGAAGGGCCCCCCGAGGCCGAAGATGGCGAACCACCTCCCCGTCGTGATCTTTGTTTCGCCGCGCGCGGGGCCCTGGGCAGCAGGCGCCGCCTCGCACTCCGCCCCACGCCGGCGAGTCGCGCCGGCGCCTCTCGGGCCCCCAGGCAGGGCAGGGCCCCCCCCCTCGACCGGCGGGCGCGAGGGTCGCCGCCCACCAGACCACCCCCACCCAGCCCGAAGGCCCCGATGGGCGCTCCATTTTCCAGTGGGTCTCGGTGGGTCGGGGAGCATGGAGAAAACATGTATATATATGAGCATGGAGAACACGTATATATTAACAGATAAACATGGATAAATCATATACATATATATGTATATACATATGCATCGATCTCTCTCTCTCTCTCTCTCTATATATATATATATATATGTGGAACCCGTACCCCCCCCAATCCGAAATGCGGGTCTTCGGGTTGAGTTGGAGTGGTCTGGCACGGCAGGTTCGTGTCGTGTGGACCGGCGGCGACCCCGCCAGCGGCGTTCAACGTTGAACGCCGCGGGCGACCCAGAATCGTTCGATGTGGAACGATTTGGACGTTTCGGAAACGGCCCATCGTTCAAAGTCGAACGATCCCCGCGGTGCCAGAAACCAACGCCGAAGTCGGCACGGCACGAACCTGACGTGGGCAGTCAGGAAGGTTGCCTGCCTCGCCGCCACGCCGCTCTCCCCTGCGGCGGCGGCCGGCGCCCCGCCCCTCCCCATGGCGAGCCACATCGCCTTCGTCGCAGTGAAGGGCCTCAGTGGGCAAACACACGCTGGCTAACACACGTTCTGAGGATCGTCGAGCTGCCCCGCCGCCACGCCGCCTCCTCCTCCCCCTCCCCTCCTCCTCCTCCTCCTCCTCCTCCTCCTCCTCCTCCTCCTCCTCCCCGCCGCCGCCGCCTCCCTCCTCCTCCTCCTCCTCCCCCTCCCACTCCCCCTCCTCCTCCTCCTCCTCCTCCTCCTCACTCCTCCTCCTCCTCCTCCTCCTCCTCCTCCTCCTCCTCCTCCTCCTCCTCCTCCTCCTCCTCCTCCTCCACCTCTCCTCCTCCTCCTCCTCCTCCTCCTCCTCCTCCTCCTCCTCCTCCTCCTCCTCCTCCTCCTCCTCCTCCTCCTCCTCCTCCTCCCCCTCCTCCTCCTCCTCCTGCCCCGCTCGTTCGGCTGGCGCGAGAGGCTGCCTCGCCGCCACGCCGCCCCCCGCCCCCTGCGGTGGCGGCCGGCGCCCCGCCCCTCCCCATCATGGAGAGCCGGAGCGCCGCGAGGCTCGTCCAGGCGCGGGAAGCGCGCGCGCGCGGGCGGCGCTGCGCGGCCCCCCAGCACGAAGTCGGGCGTGTCCCTCCACAGGGGGAAGATTCGACAATGGTCAAACAAAATTGTCCAGGGACGATGTTTTGAATATTTTGTGCACTTGTTTTTGCTTTCCTGGGCTCCTCTGCAAGATCTGTCAATCAAAATCCGCCTGTAGGAGGACACGCCCGACCTAATCCCACACCCAGACCTCCCCCCGAATCCTGGAACGATCACGGCGAGAGGCTCCTCGCCATTTTCTGGCCTCGCGGGGGCCCCACTACCAGGCCTCGGGGCCGTCAGAAAAAACGACTCTAGAGGAAGAGCCGGTCCTTGGGGAGGATGGGCCGAGGACTTTGGGGGGTCGACATCAGGACAACAATCATGACGTCGGGGGTTTGAGCAAGAGCAGGAGGAGGAGGAGGAGGAGGAGGAGGAGGAGGAGGAGGAGGAGGAGACTCCTCTCCCACGCGCAGATTGGCGCCGAGGCGTCGCGATGCGAGCGGACCGGGCCGAGAACATTCGCAGCGGCTCGCCCCTGGCCGCGCTCACGGTGTTTCCCCTCAGTGGCGCCACCGCTGGTCTCACTTGCTCAGGGCCCCCAGCAGGATGAGGAGGAGGAGGAGGAGGAGGAGGAGGAGGAGGAGGAGGAGGAGGAGGAGGAGGAGGAGGAGGAGGAGGAGGAGGAGGAGGAGGAGGAGGAGGAGGAGGGGGAGGGGGAGGAGGAGGAGGAGGAGGAGGAGGAGGAGGAGGAGGAGAGGAGGAGGAGGAGGAGGAGGAGGAGGAGGAGGAGGAGGAGAGGAGAGGAGGAGGAGAGAGGAGGAGGAGGAGGAGGAGGGAGGAGGAGGACGAGGAGGAGGAGAGAGGAGGAGGACGGGAGGAGGAGGATGAGGAGGAGGAGGAGGAGGAGGAGGAGGAGGAGGGGGAGCAGGAGCTGCCCACTGGCTGGTGGCCCAGGAGCAGGCACCCTTCTTGTCAGCGGCGAGGGCTGGCGCGCAACTCGTTCGGGCAGCCGGCGGGCCCCGCCGGGGCTACGGGCACACGCGGGCGGCAAAGGGAAGCAGAGGGTGGCCGCGGAGGAGGAAAGCTCGGCCACGCGCAGAGGGGGAAAGGAGGAGGGGGGAAGGCTTCTTAGAAGCACCCCTGCTTCTTAGAAGCAGTGGCGAAGCGTCCCGGCTCGCCTATGGTCCCACCGAACAATGTTCTAAGAACTCTTTCTGGTTCCCACGAAATGTTCTTAGAACATTTCTGGCGGGGTCTGTCTTGTTTTACCACGTCGGGTGCATGTTCTAAGCACGTTGCTTTTGTATTTAGGACATTTTTGTGTTCTAAGAATATTTCGTGGTAGGACTGTAGGAATACCGGGACGGTCGGTCCCTGCTCCATAGAGGGTGGCCGCGGAGGATGAAATCGGGAGGACGCCTCAGGCGTTGAGAACCTTCGCCAAGCGGAGCGCGCAGGTGGCATCAGGCACCGGGGGCCGGTGTACCAGAAGGTGCGCGGTCGGTCCAGGCTGCCGAGGGTGGGAGGGTGGCAGCGCCGTGACCACTGGAGGGGCGGCAGGCAAATGCCACCCAAGAGCAAACACCCGAAGAGCAAACAAGGCACACATGATATGAGCGACGGAAACAAAGGGGGTCGTCTGCGTCGACGTTGGCGCGTAAGCTGCCCGCGTAAGGTCGCGCGTGAGCGCCCTCGCCTCCAATGTAGCTTGCCGTCGCGTAAGCCGCCTAAGGTCGCCATGCCGTCTCGCGTAAGACCAATGTCTGATCCTCGCTCATACGCTTCCTCTGAGCTCCGCGCGGGTCCCTTGGATCGGCGTCGGGCCTCCCCTGGCGGCGCTCCTGGCGCCTCCCCCCGCGCGCTCCGCGCGCCAGGGAGCGGGGTCCGGCGCCGAGCCAAGAGGTCCGCGCGGACCGCCCAGGGCCCGTTGGCCTCTCCTGGCGTGCCGCAGCTGGCCGTCGGCGCTGGTGCGTCGGCGCCTCGGCGCCCTGCTGCCGGTGCCCTGCGGCCCCGGACCCCCCTCGAGTCGTGAAGAGATCACGACGGGAGTCTTCACTCGCCAGTCTCCGCCTCTGGGGGCCACCACCCGGCCTCGGGACCGTCAAGGAACGACTCGGGGTGGAAAGCCGGTCCCTGGGAACGGGTCGGGACGCCGGGGGTCCGGGTGCGGCCCGTCGGCTGACCCAGGCCGTCCCCCACAGCAGCGCGCTCGGGCCAGGGGCGCGCGTCTCCCCACCCCCCGTCGTTCGACCAACAAACAAGCGACACGACACCAACCCACCCACGGCCCTCCCTGTTGCGCTACGGTCCATCGGGCGCCGTAGCGCACAGCGCGCCAAAACCCACGCCAGATCTCCGGGTATACTACGCTAGAGCCCAAGCCCCGTGGGGCCGCAGGTGGGGTGGTGTCGCTTGCTTGCTGGTCCAGTCGTCTAGCCTCCTAGTTGTCCTCGGCCTGCTCCGCCCCTCTCTCTCCGCACCGCGACGTGGCCTGGCAGCGCGAACAGGCGGCCGGGAGCGGCCATCAGAGGCGTGCCCTCCCGTCCGGTCCGGGTCGGTGCCCTGTGGCTGGTCGCGCGCAGCGGACTCATCCATATCCACGCTCTCGTGGTCTGGATTCCGAGGCGCGGTCCCACGGATACTCTAGGCCTCCCAGGTGGGGTCCGAGTAGATGGGGTGGGAGGTTCGCGCCGCCTCGCCGACGCATCGGATGCGGCTCGATGTGGAGCCCGCGATTCCCCACGCCGACGTCGGCGATGCATCGCCGATGCATCGCCGATACATCGGCGATGCATTGGCGATGCGGTGCGATCCTTCGACCCCATCTGCTCTGACCCCATCTGGGAGTCCTCTGGATGCGCGGTCGCACGTGTACGTTCCGCGCGGGGCATCCAGGACAGGAGCGCCTGGTATCCGCGGGGCCGCGGCCCGGGCCCGCGAGGCCGGGGGTTACGGGCATGTGTTTCGGGCACGAGGTGGTGTCACGTGGCTTGCACCACACCGCTTGCACATTGGGAGTGCCAGGCCCGAGCAGCTTGGGTCCAAAAGCGCTGGGGCAGGCATCTCCAGGGGTGTTCCTCCATAGCATCTGGTGTCAGCGCGCGTGGACCCCAGACAGTAGGTTATGGCAGCATGGTGCTTGCCCGTGCATTATGGTGTGTGCCCTTGTGGTCCCCTATTGTCGGCGTCGGCGCACTTTGAGCTGTGCCCCAAACTTGTCGTCCCATTGTGCCGTAAGCTTAATGCCCTATGGTTGGCGCAATCATGCGGTGTCCCACAAGGCGATCGTCAACATCTGCACAGCTTAGACAGATGTGCAGACTGAGCGGCGAAAGACAGCAATCATCATTTGGCGCGAAGGATCCCCAGATGCGCATGCCATGTTCCGACACTTTCCCTTCTGGGATTGCTTGCGCGTGGTATCTGTGCGCAGGGCCGAGTGTGAGCGTTCATCTCGGCTTATCTCTGCCTCCGTAGGCTGCCTTCTCTCTCTTTCTGCCGTCGTGTACTACCCCCTGGCGGCTGCCCATAGATGAGCCCAAGTGCTATGTCTGCTGCGTCGCGGTGATCATGGGGTTCTGAAAGAAAAGGGGTCGTGGGCTCCCAAACTAGAGTTTCGCCCCCCACACATAGACAGTCTGGGCTCGATCGGGCGTTTGATTTCCCC